TATAATTAGTTCTTGAAAACTATCCTCCTCCTCCATCTCCTCCCTCCTGGTATCCGTCCCATGGTCCTGGTGGTCGTTTGGTGGTTGTGAAGATGAAGTGTCTCCTCTTCCTCAGTGCCCTTTGGACACCCTCATTATGCAACTGTTTACCCCTTTGTACAGTTTTGCATTCCTTGCTGACCTTCCCTCTATCTTGAACATTTTGTTTCTTCATTCCACACCTTATATAGTCTTGGTTTTCCTCCTGCTGCCAAGGTGTGAGTCTGGTTAGTTCTACTGCCTTAGAGATAAGATGTGTTGTTTTGCTAACTAAGCTAAAATACTACCATTAGTGAAGCTTCTTGTCTGTACTATGCAATCCTTGATATTTTGCTAACTAAGCTGACATAGTGCTATTAGTAAAGCTGTTCTTTATGCTTTCAGCTTTAACTGTTCAACTCCTGTTTTCAGTCTACTTCTCAGGATCACCTTCCTTACCAAGGGCTTTTCTAGCCCTTTTCACCCCTTGCAGTGAGGGAGCTCCATCCTGCAGGGCCTTCCCTCCCACATCTCCCCTGAGTTCTGTGGGAGCCTGGTCCATGCCCAGCACACCAGGCCATGTCTCTAGGCACAGCAGCTGCTGCTTTGCAGCAGCACCAGCTGAGTGCAGAGCACACTGGGGACTTCACCTTCTGCAGAGGTCAGGTTTGACTCTGCTCTGAGTCAAATCACGCTGTACGTTGAGTGCAGCCAGATTTCCCCTGTGTCCTGTTAAGTTCAGGGTTCTCAGTATCCCCATCAGCCCTGTTGAACTCTGTGAGCAGTGGGGGAGGAAAGCAGCACAGGCACTAACAGAGTCCAAATCTCTGGTGCACACCAGGGGCTGCTGCCTTAACACAGCTGTAAGGTGTCAGCTGCTGGCTCAGGGCAGCTGGGTCAGAGGTATAGCTGAGACCCAGGAAAATAATGCTTTAAATGATGATGTATTACCAGATGCATACTTTGCCTGCAGTATTTTCTTTGGCAACCAAAATGCTGGCCACAAAAAGGATCTTAATTAAAATAAATACCCTGTTGATCTTAATTGCACCTGAAAAGTTGAAGAAAAAATGACCTCTCCACTAGTACTTCCAAAGTTAATGTTTGACTGCTTGGGCTGGGATGAAAGGGATGAAAAGGGCTAACAAACATGGCTTAAATACTATATTAGACTTTTTATTTATTTATTTACTTACTTACTTACTGATTTGTTTGTTTGTTTATTTATTTATTTGCCTTGTGTTAGCCCAAGTCCAAATGGGTGGTTGCTGGATTGATTTCTAGTTGTGGCTAAAGCATCCTACAAGGTGCATAGCTGCAGAGAGATGAACCCAAACTGAACTTTTCTTGGCTAAAATCTCTCCTCACCTTCACATGGTAACATCTCACCTATGTCTCATTGCTGGCAGAGGCATTGCAGGACTAGAAAAAGGAAGAATAAGTAAGTGAAGTTCTGTAACTACAGAGAAATGTGATCATTTGAGAATTTCTTGAATGGTAAATGCCCTGATGTCTTAGAAGCTTAGATACCATGGAGATAGTTGCCTTAGCAATGTTTTAGCCACGTAGGTAATCACAATCAAACCTGCCTCTTGTGGCAAAATGATGCTGTATTATTTTTTCTTTTTGCAAAGCTTTTGTGCATGTGCAATAATGAAGTTTATGTTTTTTGTATCTAGACATCACTCCTTGTCCTTGTCATTCTTTTATTTCTCACTGATGTTAATTCTGAAAATAATTGTCTTTCATGCTAAGACTTTGTACGTATGAGAGTCTGACAGATTTAGTCCCTGTTCACCTCAGGATGAAAAAATCTCACTTCTGAGGTGAGAAAGGATCAATTTTAGAGGTTGTGTTCAGGTTCTCATCTTTTAAAAACTTGTACAGCCTAAGTTGATGTAGGTTTAATATTTTCACAGCATGACATCATTTCAAAGTCTGTGTATTTTCACAGCAGGGACTCAGACAATCCAAATGTATGAAAAAAATGGAATCAGTGGGCAGATATCTCCATTGTGATTTACAGACTGTCTTAATAGAACCAATATGTAAATATAGAAAGTGAGTATGGAGACAAAAGAAATTATCTTTTTCTATTTGGAGTTGGAAGCATTTGCATTTCAAAGTTATTTATTAGGAAGGAAGGCAGTTTGGGGTTTTAGAACAGGCAAAACTGCTCCTGGTAGGGCAGCAGGCTGCCAGAGGTGACAAGAAAGTGTTGGTGAGGCAGTGGTGGCTCCTGTGTGGTGAGTGTTGGCCCTCCCAACACCTCCAGCTTGAGACCCCACGGTGCAGGAGTGGCAAACCTGACTTTCCAGGACTTTCACTAGAGGTTTTGCCATGGATCACAAAAGTTCCATGATTTTCAGGCCACAGAGAAGCCCTAGACAGTGTGTTTGGTTTTACATCAGATATGCTTGTGCTGCTTACACCGGGTGAGAAAAGGGCCTGATGCTTTATGGAAATATCTAGGAGAGATTGGAGTGTCTTTAGTGTTTCTTGATATGTGCTAGCCATGTCTAAAAATGGGACCCTTGTGAAGCCAATAGCTGCCACTTCCTTTTTTTCAGTAATTCTCCCCACTCTCCCTACCTTCCCTTTCATTTTTCTGCCTTTTGAGAAAACCAAGAAAGCACAAGTAAGCAAAGTCTTATTTACGTTGATCTTTTCCAGGCTGTTAATTATAGGCTCATATTGCAGCTTGGGTTGGAAGGGACCTTGAAAGATCATCTGCTCTGACCTTTTGTGGGAAAGAGAGCCTAGATGAGATTATCTAGCACCCCACTCAGTCATGTCTTGAAAATCTCCAGCAATGAGAACTCTACCCTGTCCCTGGGGAGCTTGTTGCAGTTATTATTACTGGAAAAAATATCTTCCTTATTATCTTTATGCAACTTGTACCCATGGCCCCTTTTCTTCTTCTTGTGGCTCCTTGTGAAGAGAGAGCATGTTCTCTTTGTAGTCACCCTTTAACTGCAGGAATACTGCAATGAATTCCCACAAAAGACTTCACTTCTCCAGGAGTTAAATACCTAGATCCTTCACTGCAGGAATACTGCAATGAATTCCCATGAAAGACTTCACTTCCCCAGGAGTTAAATACCTAGATCCTTTAGGTTTCTTTTGATAGGACAGACTCTCCAGCCCTTTGCTCATCTCTGTGGCTCTCCTTTAGGACCTTCCAGGCTGTCTGTCTCTTTTTTGGGTGGTGGAGACCAGGGCTGGACACAATACTCCTGCTGCTGTGCATGGCAAGAGTGAAGTTTGTCCATCTACTTGTAAGGACAGGTGAAAAAGATTAGGATATGCGAATTAAGGGCATTGAGAATAGAAAGCAAAAGAAATGCAGAACTGGGGAAGGAAATGTCACCTGGGGCCTTTCTGACTTAGATTGGACTAGCAAACCTAGCTTTGCTTGGAGCCAAGACCTGTGTTTGTATGTTCGGTTTCTTTTTTTTTCCAGTAGCCTCCATTCCCTTCTAGCTTGCAAGGCCATGAGAGCTCAAATCTGCACAAAATCATAATTAGCTTTTTGTTCTTTGTGTTTCAAGGGTTTTCTCCTACTGGGACTGGAGCTCTGTACTATTGTGTTATTTTTGCCCCACGGCCCTGCAGTGTGCCTGTGTGTCCTTCGCTGAGATCCGCACTGGGAGGAACAGGTATGTGCTGTGCCAGGGCTGGGATCCCTCCCCACAGGGATGCTGGAGGCTGATGGGGCTGTTTCCTGAGCCCTTGCTGTCTTCTGCAATGGCTTCAGCACTTTGTGCTGAAATATTCCCATTTGAAACTCCACAGCATGTCTGTGATGTCTCACCCTCAAGAGGAAGGAAACCTCCAAGATTTGGAAATGCTTGTGTTTGGAAGGAATGACAAAAGTCAGAGGGTCTGCAAAAAAATCAGTTTTATTAGTAAATATGGTGAGGGTTCCTTTGCACAGATCGGTTTCCCTGCCCTGAAGAGAGGTTTATCACTTTCTATTCAAATTATTTATCATGTGCAGTTCATTCTTCAGACCTTTCTGGAAATGGGTCAGAGATCTTTGGGCATGTTGAGTGGTCTTGATATCCCTCTACAGTCCATGTCCACTTCTTGGCTTCATTCCTGTGCTTGCACTGTGCTGTGTTGTGTTTATCTCCAGGAGCTAGGACAAGGATGTTTGTGCTGCCCTATCTCCACATAGTTCCCTGATTTTCTGGGTTTCTACAGACAGGCTGATCTGTAGCTCAGTCATCATGCCAGATTTGTGCACTTTGTGGCATTCTGGGGTGTTTTTATAACAATAACTGCATTTAAATGCTGAGAACTGAAAACCTTTTTAACTCTTATGCACTTTTTTATTATAAACATCTTTAGTAATTGTATGATAAAACCTAATTTTCATCAACGTTTGATTCACATTTCATTAATGCCTCTGGCAGCTGCTGGAGTGGCACAGTGTCTCCATAAAGCTCAAGTACCTGCTCTGCTTAATGAGAGGTCACCATCTGTGGCAGCTCTTCAGCTTGGCAGGGCTGTCTGAGGAGGTGTGAGAGCTGGGGAAGGAGCAGAGGATTCTGTGCCACCACAGCTGCTGGAGAAAAGCCATGTGGGTTTGTGAATCAGTGCTGCTGTGAGCTGGGAACAGAGACTCTTGTGCCACTGATGCAGAGATAATTTGTGCTTATTTTGTGGCATAAGTCAGTGCAAGTTGCTGGGAAATTTGTGGGAGAAAATCACGATAGATGTGGAAAAAGTAGTAGACCCAAGTCTTTATCTATTTCAGTGCTTCTTATAGTGGCCAATTTTGAAGTTGCAAAGATGTTTAAAACATTGGAATTGTTCCTGGTAGAAATAAACCAACGAGAAATATCCAAAGATGCATTCACAAAATCTCCTGCTTGGCATTTTGAACACGCTTGTACTGCAGCAAGCATTGAGCCGATCCAATTTCCTCCTAATAGATTTGTTTTCACTTTCCTTAGGAGAACACCCCCCAGGGACAGATGTACTTGGATAGCAAAGATGACAGTACAATTTCTAGACTACAAGAGATGGAGCTGAATCAGACATCTTCACATCAAGCCAGTTTATCTGCAAAGGTGGCAGCCAAACCAGTGAGCAGAAGTTGCAATGAGCTGCGGCTCTTGAAAGAGTATCCTGGAATGGTAGCAAGTCTTGGAGAGCCTCAGGCCCTGTGTGAACAGCCAGAAATAGGGGAGGATGGCTGCATTGCCCTGGGGAAGGACTTCACTCCCGTGCCCATGCAGGGAAGGTAAGAATAAGGACAAACAAAACATTTTTTCTCCAAATCCAAATTATTTTTCATTTCCTTGCAGAGCAGATACGTAGATGGTCATTAAGTCGATATTGTTTCTCCCACCCACATAGAGAACCAGAAGCTTAATGGGACATCAGAGCAGTTGTAATGGCCATGGAGAGGTCGTGGATCACTGGATTTTTAAACTAATCTCAGCTTTAATAGCAACCATGGGCCAATTTCGCTGTGTTTTCAAGATTAGGCAATTGGTTTTTCTTCCCAACCTGGTGTCAGAAAACACCCAGAGATAAAGCAGTTTTCATGTCCCACCCCTTACCTCTCTCAGAAAAATTCACCATAAAACTGTAACCAGAATCTCTACAGCTAAGGCCACAAACACTGCAATGGCACTAATAATGCAACTGTGGCAGCTGACACACCACACAGCAAGTGTTCAAGGAGTGTCTTCCTGCTGTGACACATGCAACATCAGCAATTCTGTAAGTATTTAGAAATACTTTATGGCCCCCAAAATGTTGCAGGTGGCTTTTTGAACATTTCTTGTTCACACTTGCACTTTGTTAAACCCCTTTAGTAGCAGGATGGAGCAAGATTTGCACCAGCAGCAACCAGGGTGGACTTCTGCAGGTAGTTTTGAGAAGTTTTAGGGGTGACTCGATGGAGCCCAAAGTGAGAGAAGTTCTGTACCTAATCCAATCTCCTCCAGAGCACAGGCCTTGAGATGCTCCCTGGGGTTGGATGCATTGGTCAAAGTAGCTTACACTGTAGTGGAGAGGTAGAGTGCCAGCACAATTTCCAGAGCACAGTGCTGGAGACCTTTGTTGCAGGGCTACAAATCACGAAAGAAGAGGATTGATTTCAAGGCAGTTTAATGTTTAAAACAGATTTTTTTTTAACCAATTAAAACTAAATTACATAAAAATACAATTTATTTAATGATGTAATAAAAGTGAATCGGAAGTGTAATGCAGGTCAGAATCCTGGGTCAGCTAGAATTTTTATCCAAAGAACAGTTTTCTTTCTGTTTTTCTCTCTCCTTCCCTCCCTCCCTCCCCATCCTGTGGTTCTCTGTGGTTCATGTCATGTGGAAGGTGCAGTCCTGGGGCTCCCACAGACCTGGCAATGCTGCTCACATCCTGCTCTGCTGAGTGGGCTGAGCTCTGTCCATGCCCCTGCATCTCTCTTCGAAGGGAATGTTCTTACACTGGGAGGAAAGGAGGTTTGGGGTCCTGTGGTAAGTCCCTTGTTCTGGGCAATGGGAACCCAAACAGCAAAAATCTGGATGGTTTTTCCTGTGCCCCTGATTTATTTACTGTGTAAGTGTGGCATATGTGTCTTTAGCAAAACCAGTCAAGGTTTCACAGACACCAGAGTGAAAGTTGGAAATCATTGTAGCTATGCTTTCCAAATATTAAAGAATAATCATATTATCAGCTTCACCACCAAAGCCCCATAAATAAATCCTTTAGAATTTTTTTTGAGATTTTGAGGATTTGTTGTGTTGACTAAGAATTTTACATGGCAGAATCTAGTCTTGTAGAAGTTCTTGAGTTCAACATGTGGAGGGGATGAGTTAATGCCACATTCTGAAAGAGCATGGCACATACAGTGCATATGTGAGGACTGGAGGAAGGCAAGGGAAGGGACAGGAAGGACTGAGTGCACCTGGAGACAAGGATTTTCTTTTGTGATTTCACCTCTGTCTTGCTGCAGCTGTGCTCACCAGTACCATTTACTGCCCTGTTTACTGTCCTGTAACAGGATCAAACCCCACAGCTATATTCTCATGGACCAGCTCTCACCCTTCTGGCTAAACCTCTTCCCGTTGTTTTTCAGTGAGTGATGTGAATTTGTGTCCTGGCGATGCACAACTCGCTGTGACTCTCCGAGCCACAGTTTAGTCACCATGGCCACAGGTGCCAGAGGTGACACACACTAGCTCATGGTGGGACTCACCTTCCTGCACCTTTGCTAAGACTGTTTCCCTGTGGAAAATGTAGTCACTGTGCATGATTCAGGAATAGATGTACAATTAAATAGCCACCTCTGTGCTCCCTTGCAGATAGATGAGTATCTATTCTTCTATGACAATATATTAAGGCTCAGGAAAGGTTCTCTCAAAATTTTTTCTTGTTGATCTTTACCTCTTGCTCCTACAACACTGATTTGTATTTACTTTTTTTTAAAATTTATTTTGCATGGAAATGAGACACATCAGGCTCTTAGCACATAGTGTAACCAATATACATTAAGTGCAGTTAAAATACTGATGTGACCTGTATGAGCCCTCTAGTATGAGCAATTACCCTTAAATCATTGGGACTGCTCAACAGAATGCAGATAAAAACATGGATAAACCTTTGCAGATTCACAAGTTGTTTGATTGGTTTCATTAGAATGAGAATTAGCTTTTCATGTAAATTGTTCTTTTGCTGGCAAACTACTACTGATTAAAAAAAGGAGGGGACCAAATCCTTTATTTTTTTCTTATAAAATGGTTCACTAAACTGGCATGTCTGTATGGTTTGTTTTAATGCATCTGCTTAACTTAAATTACTGAATTATCTTTCACAGATGGGATTCCCAGGTTCTCTAAATTGTTCAAATGTACACTGAGACAAGACTTTCCAAAGAACCTATTTAACAAAATAGGATTTATCTCGGTCTCTAAAATTACCTTTCAGAATGTGTTCTTGAGTTTAGAGGAGACTTTTCCCTAGGGACATAGATGTCCACCCCATTCTGGAATGAACATTTCCATCTGACTGCAGCCCAGTGCTGCAGGTATTTTGTGGTCAGAGCTCATGTTGTCTGGGGCTCTCTGCCTGCCAAAATGCCTTCTCATGCACTTTGCATGCTGAAGAGCAGCACCTTTTGACTCCAGGTTGTGCTGCATTGCCTCAGGCTCTTCTAGCTCTGTGTGAGGAGGTCTGGACCATCCACAGTGGTCACTCCAATGACCTTGTCATTCCAGAGCATCCTTCCCCCAGAAATGAGCCTGTCTGCCTTCCTGTGAGCAGCACACTTCAGCCCACCTTGCTGTGGGAATTGTAGGCATGTGTCTCTGAGGAGGACTGTGTATGTTTACACTGAACTGTGGTGTAGTTTGGTCTATCAGAGATGCAGGTTTTAAAGTACTGAAACATGGCAGTGAAGTCTGGATTTTGATTTTTCATTGATCTCATTTTCCTTGGCCTTTAAACAATGGATTGACCAGGCTCTTTTTCATAAGGCTCTTTTACATGACAGTGACATTTACATTCATGGACATTGCTCCAAGTCACCTTCCTGAGCCCCTTCCCTTGCAGGAAGATTCCACACTGCTTTGAGACACAGGCTACTTCCTCCCATCATGTCTCTGTACTTAGGGGATGTGGACCCCAAAGTGACCCCTTGGTCTCATCAGCATCAGTGCTACTTCCATGGGAAAAACTTAACAGCATGGATTTACAGTGAACCAAACCTGAAATCCTCCTTTGTGAAACACAGGAAGGGGGAGAAGTTAGCTATTTTTGGCTGAGGAGCTCATGTGCATTGAAGGCCATCTATAGAAATGAGATGAATAGTCATTCTTAATCCCATTTGAGCAATTACTTTACCTTACTCCACTGAAGTTATATTTGGATGAATTTGGCCCTGAAATTTGATGGTCATTTAATATGATACTCTTTGGAAGATTTTTCCTTAATTCTTTGTGCCTCATTGAGAAGATGCATCCATGGGATAACAAAAAATAATATAATTTTTTTTGGAATCTACTTGAATTCGTGTTTCATCAAGCAAAACTCTTTCTCTCAGCATTTCTCCTGTCCCTTCATTTCAATTATGTAAAGCTCACTTACTGAAAGTAAAAACAGTCGACCAACTCCAGCTCTTCCTTTGCCCTGGATCTGTGGTCCCAGGATCAGTAGGGAGATTGGTTTGCAGCTAGATCAGTGAGTTAAAATGTCTGTTGAAGTCTCAGTTTGTAGCAATGGAATGGAAAGGCTGCAACTGGATTTCCTGTTAGCTGGAGAAGCTGGGAGATGATAAGCTATTGCATAGCAAAAAGTCAATATCAGAGTGAAGTTATGCCTTTAGCCATGGGTGATTATAAATCTCAATTTTGATTTTTAATTATGTTGATGTATTGCTACTTTGAAAAGACATTTATGAGATTTAGAATTAGATGTCAAGAAGACACTGTTACTGTCTAAATAAGTAAAATTTATGTGACGACTTAAAAGCTTCTTCAGACAGGGGAAAAGACAGGAAAAAACTCTCTCATCACCGATCAAAACACATTTTTTTGTGTGTGTTCTAATACTAGTTCTGATCTTTGGCTATTAGAACAAAGTGGGATCAGCTTCTGTTCAACAGTCAAAAGGGAGAGCTGTCATTTTCACATCAGAATTGCATGTTTGTGTAGAAATCATTCTGTTTTTCATATCAATCACACCAATGCTGGAGAAGAGTCCAGGATAGATGGCTGACTTCACAGCAAACTGCCACCTTCATCCTCCTCATCTGACTGCTGGGGATCTTGCTGCCTGAATGGTGGCACTTCTGCCTGTCTTTCCACGTCTTACCCTCAGGGAATGTTTCTGAGTTTTGAATCCCCATGAGGATCTTTCAATGCTTTGACACCGCAGTGAACAAACGATACTGGAGAACTTTTAAAGTCATGACTTTGCTGATTGACTTGGCTTGGATCATTTGGTTTGCAATACCATCCCTCAAACATTTGGTGCTTACATGGAGGGATGTGGCTGCAGCAGCTTGTCTTGAGCAACCTGTGCAGGGCCATGGGACTGCTGGGATTAGAGCTGCCTGCTGTTGGCCCTACTATATCATGTTACCATTCAAAACCTCAAAAAGTTAAAAGAAGCAATAAGCAGCTCTAGTAAAACTTGAGCTAGAGAGGTAGAAGTGTAACAGAACGACCACATGATGCACAATAGGCAAATACAGAAGTTATTGCAAGGTTTTGCTGCCTCATTCTAATTTGCTGTTCC